TCAGGAAGCTATAGCTTTGCACTCCTACGCAGGGAACCAGCAATCTGTTTCTCTGACCCAAGCCCCACAGATCACTAGGAGAAGTGTTAGGACGAAAAAGGGGGAGGTAGGAACATGCCCAGTAGAAGTCAAAATGGTACAGGGGAAGGTGTTTGACCATAGAAGTCTGTCAATCTAACCTGGGAAAGGGATTATTGGTAAAGGGGTGGACCTATCAGAAGCCTGCAAAAGCTTGGGAAGTTGAGTGTTTTTTTAAAAGATTTTATTTATTTATTTTTAAAGAGAGGGGCAGGGAGGGAGAGAGGAAGAGAAACATCATTGTGTGGTTGCCTCTCGAGTGCCCGCTACTGGGGATCTGGCCAGCAGCTCAGGTATGTGCCTTCACAGGGAATTGAACGGCCAACCCTCTGGGTCATGGGCCAGCCCTTAATCCACTGAGCCACACCAGCCAGGGTTGATAGATTATTTTGAAAAAGCTCCTTGTTATAGCCCCAGGGTAACAAAGAAGCTGCCTCTCTCTCTCTCTCTCTCTATCTCTCTCTCTCTCTCTCTCTCTCTCTCTCTCAGTGACCCACATTCATCCTCTGCTCTCATGTGTTTTCTCTCCATAACCGTGTGGCCCTGGATACTGCAGCACTGTACTAAGCTTTAATATGGCACTGGATCTCTGGACATTGGTCCTTTTCTTGGCCCTGATTTTCAATGGCAAGATGGGCAGAGATGGGACACTGGAAACCCAGGAGGTTCACTCTATTGATTGTGCATTGATCACCCACATAAATTTACCACCAGACCTCATCTTCCCTTGTGAGTCCTTGCAAGAGCTTTTCCTTATGACACCACAAGGATCCCACTTCCACCAGTAACAGTATTGTTTCATGCCATTTTATTTGTCAGAGTAGAAGACACCTTACATTTGTTATCTTCTTTGTTGTTCAGAAAAACCACACATGTATTACTCCATGTGGCATAAAATTAATTCAACTAGTCGGTCAATTTAAATTTGAACCCAGAACCCCTGAAGATAACCTGTCCTTGTTTGTTTGTTTGTTTCTTCCACATTAAGTACATTTCTTTTTAGTATTTACTGGGTATATGCAACTTTTGCTAATTTGTCATCCCAAAGAAAGAATAAGTTTCTAATTTCTACAAAGTGACTAGATGCAGGACAAGGCAAAGGAATCCTCAAAAGAATCCCAACTATTCTATCACCAGGAAAGACCCCTGTGGGACTTCTTGACAGATTTACAGTAGTAGACAAGAAAGCAGATTCATTCTCATTGTCCCTCCTTCTTTCCTCCACCTCTGTTTCCCTCCCTCTTCCTTCCTTTGTTTTTTCTACAATCATTTCAGAACTATTATGTGGCAGGTACTGCACTGGGAATAGAGAACCTGACAAAGTCCTCATCCTCATTCAAAGTCATCCAAGGCAGAAACTGTACTATTTAGTGATTCAAGCAACACTGCCAGAGTGCTTGTCCCAGCTCGGCCACTTAACTAGCTGTGCTATTTGACCAAGTTACTTAACTCTCTGTGTCTAAATTCCTCTCTTTGGCAGACCACATCAAAGGGTGATTAAGGGGATAAAAGGAGTTAAAATATACAGAAAAGAGTAACACTAAGCCTGAAACATGGTGAGCATTGTACAGATGTTGTTATAATTACTATACTCTTCAGCTTCTTAGAGGGAGTGCACTAGGCTGTCTTTAGTCTTTTTAGCCTTTTGTCTTTTTGTCCAAAGTCTGGGAGATATTACAGCTCAGCTTTTTCTCTCAAAAAGTAGAAATCAATTTATTGGCAAAGATAATCTTCAGGGACGGAGTGTCCTCTTCTCATAGCTAAGAGAAAAATCCTCCATATCTATTTTATGAGGTTGCTCTCAATGGGCAAAAGAATGCGGCTAAATATACAGGTTTCTAAGTCAAGATACCCTTCTCAGATTTGCCTGTTAGCAGATGTGACAAGCATTTCTTCAACACCTAAGTCCCTTTCATGTTGTTTGGAATAAATATCTGTTCCACTGAGAAGGAAACTGGTTGAAAGCAAATAGTGTGGGAGTTAGAAAAATTGGATGACTAGATGTACATTTTTTGACAGCAGAATTCCAACCTCATTCATCTTGGTAAGTACAGTTTATTGTATGGAATGGGTTTAGGGGTTTTAAAATAGCTCATCTCTATTTTAGGTGTTTTCCGTACAATTTATTTCTCACAATAGCACTTCATGGTTGGTACCACCAACCCAGTTGCATAGATAAGAAAATCTAAGGATGAGATTGTAAAGTGATTACAACCTTACAAAATGCAGAACTATGCCTGAAATCTAGGTCTAACTCTAAAGTTAGTTACCTTTTTCCATGTGAATGTCTCAAAAAAATGTTCAGTGAACAAATACATAACTAAAAGAAAATGCAGGAACCCTTTTTCACTGTTGGTGGGAATGCAGACTAGTGCAGCCACTGTGGAAAGCAGTATGGAGATACCTCAGAAAATTAAAAATGGATCTGCCTTTTGACCCAGCAAACCCACTTCTGGGAGTATATCTGAAGAAACCCAAACTACTAATTTGAAAGAACATAAGCACCTCTATGTTTATTGCAGCATTATTTACAACTGCCAAGATATGGAAGCAACCCATGCCTATCCACATATCAGTGGATAAAACAACTATAGGACATGTACACAATGGTTTAAATAATACTCCACTGTAAAAAAAAAAAGAAGAAAATTATATCCTTTGCAACAGCATGGATGGACCTGGAGAACATTATGCTAAGTGAAATGAGCCAGTCAGAGGAAGACAAATACCATATGATTTCACTTATATGTGGAATCTAATGAACTAACTGAACTAACAAGCAAAATAGAGACAGACTCATAGAGAGCAGGATGATGCTATGGGAGGTGGAGGGGAGGGTGCGGACGAATCGAGCAGAGAGGAAAACGGACTCATGGACACTGACAACAGTGTGGTGATTGCAGGGGGAGAGGGTATAATGGGGTAATGGACAAAATACAATAAAATTTTTTTAATACTTCCTGTTATTTCAGATCCATGATCCAAAAATATGACTCTGGATAAAGGGTATTTTTTTAGGTTACTTTGCTATCCTTTCTTACAGGAGAGCTCAAGGCCAAAAATATAAGTCACATAATATAAAAGAGTAAATGCATGTCTAGAAATAAACTCAGCATTTATGTGAAGACTCACTGACTGGACATTGGGAAAAGAGGCATTTAAATTTCACATAACTTACCACAATTAAAACACTCCCTGAAAGAAAAAAGCACTACCTAAAATTCCAGACGGTTGATGTGAATTTCACAAATATCAGTCTTTACTTGATGAGTTATCATACAAGACACTGAGTTGCTTAAGGTAACAATGTCTCCCTTTCACTGAGATCAATCAAATGCCAGCTCACTTAGTTTGCTTTAGATGTGATGTCAGAAGCACAAAGTGGAGCTAGGATTGCTTCGCCTAGGTTAAATAAGAGAGTCACTTTGCTCAAGCCTCATCTACTCCCTGCAAGCCACCACCCAGCTCAGATTTTTCGGCCATACTCCCTCAAACGGATATTTAAATACTTGTGGTTCCAATGACAGAGCACTTTGCAGCCCTCTCAAGCTCACAGTTTTGGTAGAGCCATAAAGCGCCCAATGCCAGGAGAGGACATCTGGCGTCCACTGCTTTCTCCTGCCCAGCTTTCTTTCATATAACTCTAATCATTGTACTCGACTTTATTCCTCTGATGCATCTTTTATTAGATCTAGGAACAGAAGAGGAGACGAAATACTACCTTTTCTACTAGTCCAACCCACTCTCACTCAACCCAGCCCACTCAGCACTGCCTCTGCAAAAATGGAGGCAGACACTTGTAGAGAAACCCCTCTTCATTTCCTCTCGAGTGGTGCGTGTGTGTGGGTGTGCGATTTTAATATCCTTGGGCTAGACCACAAAACGTCCTTGTTAGCCCTACCAGGAAACCGGCCCTTGGTCACAACTGTCCTTGCCAAACCAGTCTGTGCTCGCTTTCGCGAGAAATGAAGATGAAAAGCAGATGGACAGAGCAGCTCCGGAAGAGCATCCGCTGAGGGACTGCGGGGGACACCTGAACTGCCGCCGCCTCCCTCGCTACCCGCCTGGCCTGGCACCCCCGGCTTGGCGCAACAGACTAGGAAACCCAGTGTGAGACCCGGACGCAGGCCCTCGGGAAGTCTCACTCTACTTCTGCCCGTCCGCATACCTCGCATACCTCGCACACCTCGCCAGCACACACCTTTCCTTCCGCCTCCTACCCTACCATGCTACCCGGTCCGAAAAAGAAGGAAAACGGCCCCCCCAGGTACTTCGTCCCCTCCTAGCCTCTCGGAGCCCCGATCGTCTGCTAAAAGACAAGACACTCTTTACGCCCTACTCTCGCCCCCACTTCGTGCGACAGCCCGGCCACCGGATGCTCACGGGCCCGGGGCGGGATGCTAGTGAGAAGTGCACTGGGGACACGCCGGTCAGGAAGTAGCTCCGAGAGACTGTGGGCCAAAGAGAGGTTGAAACACCGCGCCAAAAGAGCCTCGGTGCAAAATGCCCAGATCGTGGCCACCTCCTGGCCGAAAGCACGCAGGCACAGGGGGCGCTCCCTGCCGGGAACTCCTTGCCCGCCTTTCCAACGGGCGCGCCCCGGGCCCGAGCCCGAGCCGGAGCCCCGAGCCCGAGCCCCGAGCCCCGAGCCCGGCGCGCCCCCCGCAGCTCTTGCGCCTCTCTCCACGCACAGGTGACGCTAGCTTTCTTCGGGTGGCAGCTTTGAATTTTTATTTTTTATTATTTTGTCTATATAAGGGCTCACTGGCGAACTGCGTTTGGGGTGTTTGTCACAGGCGTGCTAGTAATTTTCACACATCTTGCGGTTCCCGGGGCGGCAGGGTGCGGACGCACTTTCGCCTTCCTTTCTGAGGGCGCCTCCCCTTCTCTTCCTCCTCCCATCCTCCCGGTGAGTCCTTTACCTGGTCTCTGGCACCGGGTGAGCGCCGCAGCTCTCCGTTCCCTCCTAGCCGTAGCCGGTTTGCCTCGCTGCCACTGGGTGAATGGAATTATTTATTTATTTTTTGTCCCCTGAAGCGTCCTGGCCGGCTACAGCCAGAGGTGAAGGAAAAGGAGGCGGCGGCGGGGACCGGGGGAGGCGCGGCCGCTGAGAGCCAACGCGGGGGCCGAGGAGCGCGCCTTGGGAGGGGCAGGGGTGGATGCGCTGGTGAAGAACAGGGCTTTGCCGGACTGGACGATCGGGGCGGGGGGGACAAACTGCCACCCTGTGACTCAAGGAGGAATGAGCATGCTCCAAATGTCTGTCAACACTGTAGTCACTTTCTCCTTGGCTCGGGTGACTCCACTTCAGGTTTTAGTTTTCACCAAGCAAGAAAGCCAAAAGTCTGGTAGAAAGAAAAGTTGTCCAAGATTGGTCCGCACACCCCGTCTCCGAAGTACTTCGGCACTTAGCTTAGAAGCCAGGCGTGCAGTAGCTCCGTGTAGATACCCCCGGGAGTTATGCGACCTGTAAAAACCTGAAAAAGGAACAAGCCTGGTAGATTTGAGGGCGACTGGAAGATTCTCTTTGTGAGCTTGAAGGGCAAATGTTGGATTATTTTTCAATTGAGGTCTTTTGCGGGGAGGGGTAGAGCGGGAATGGCAGTGTTGGAGATTTGGCTCACCAACCAAATCACTCTAAGGGAAAAAATAAAATTTTCACCGTGGGAGGAAGAGTATAGAAAATAGCACAAGAGCGCTGGCTGGGGTGGCTAAGTGGACTGAGCGCTGGCCTGAGAACCAGAGGGTCCCCCTTCCTCCCGCGTTGGATCCCCAGTCAGGGCACATGCCTGGGTTGCAGGCCATGTCTCCAGTAGGGGGCGATCAAGAGGCAACCACACATTGATGTTTCCCTGAATTGGTATTTCTCTCCCTCTCTCCCTCCCTCCCTTGCCCTCTCTCAAAGTAAATAAATAAATTTGAAAATAGATAAGAATAGAAAGTCGTTTGTAAATAATCCCTTTCACTTCTAGTTTCTCACATCATTTAATTCTTTAGAGTAGGATTTAGTTATTTGACAATGAACAATGCTAGGGATAATGTTAATTCCGCAGTCATTGGTTTGGCTTCTTCTACCTTTCATTCGTCCCTCCCCCGCACCTCTTGAGAGTGTTTCTGGGGAATTAGAAAGAGGAAGGGCTAGAAATGAACTCTTAGCTTGGTTTCCTTTAGTGTCTTGAAGGTTGAATTACTGTTTAGAGAAAAAGAAACTGTCCAGAAGAATAAACACAGACTTGGATTTGAGAACTCATATTCCAGTTTTTCTGTCATTTTAACTGACACCGCACCCTATTCCTGCCTCTAAAAAGTGAAAATGATAAAATATTACATTGATCCTGATAATAATATAACTTCCTAGAAGGCTACCTTCTTTAAAGATAAGTTTGCTAAAATAGAGCCCAAAAGACAAAGAAACAAAATAATAGTGAAAAAAATTACACTTACTTAAGTGAGCAGAGGTTCAGACTGAGTCATCCCAAGATGTGTGTCTGTCTTGTACAAAGTGTTTTGAGCTAAAAGCAACTTTAGCCACAGGCTCCAGAGAAACTTCTGCCCCTAGCTTTACTTATGACAATATGATTAGGGCCTTTTCCCATGGTGATTATCAAAGATAGCCCCTTTTGACCTATCTTTAGGGCAGAGTAAATTTCTATTTACTAAACTTTTGTCTTTCTCATCAGCCTGCAATGACCCTTCAAACCCCAAGGTGCTTTATCCCATCCCTAGCTCAGGATGTCCTGTATACATGGACCTGCCTTTGTGTCTCTGAACCCCTTGTGCATGTGGGGTTTCTGACTCTTTTATGTATGCGGGGTCCCATATATATGTATATATTAAATTTAATTACTTTCTTTTGCTAATCTGTCTCATGTCTATTTGATTGTTATAACAGCCAGAAAAGCCATGAGGGTAGAGGAAGGTTTCTTTCTCTACATAAGGGCTTATCATTGTTAGGCAGTGTTCTAAGTACTTATATGGATTACTTCAATTAATACAATAACCCTATGACATTATTTACCTTTATGAATTTGAAGACAAATTAAGTCACTTGGTTAAATTCACATTGCCTTACTTCTGCCATAGCTAGTAAGCTAGGACAAAATTTGAATTTTACTGCCTGAAGCCACAAAGTAGAAATAATATCCACTTTTTATCTCTATCATAAGATTTAAGTGAGATGATATATATGAAGTGAAATGTAGAAAATATGAGATAAACAAATGGTAGATATTATTAGTAACTTCAAAAGATTTGGAAGACAGTTTCACAGAGAGAGTGATAGTTTGGAAACTAAGGAACTCAAGTGGAAAATTCTGGAAAGAACTTAAGATTTTTTAAAGCTAAAATGTGCAAATTGACAAATGCATAAGATTATAGACATTTGAGAATGACAGAAAATCTAGCAGTGACAATAAACATTTCATTTTCATTACAAAAGAATATTATATTAAAAAATTAAGACTCATATTTCAAGGTCATCCTCTTGTGTGTTTGCTAATGACATTTTTCCTGCTCATTCATTACCATTATTTCAAAGATAATAAAAAGAAGAAGAAAGACCATGTATTTTTCTGAATTTTGAGCCTATTCTTCCTTTTCCATCTCTTTGATTTTTATTTTTTGTCCTGTATTTTTTACAACTTAATGGCCTTGGCCTATTTAACTCATTGCCAAATTTGTAAACCTCACTATCCATAGCATTATACCATAACTGTAGCATGATTTCTTTTTAAGTCTTGTTTTTCCAACAGTTATAACTCTGGATCCAATGTACCTACTGTCCCAATGTTAGTATTTGGAGCTTCACTGCTGTATCACCTTGTTGCTGTGACTGAGCATGCTATGTAAATATCTGGTTGGATTAGAAAAGAATCTGAAAAGAGAATTAGATAACAGACAATAAAGCCAGTCAATTTATCCTGTAACTGTTGTCTTAATATTGTTCAGATATTGAGAAAATATATATGATTTAAGGAAAAAGCAAACCATATGATCAGAACTTGAAATGCTTTTGATAAAAATGTCTGTCTTGATTTCTTTTTACAAGACGTAGGAACAATGAGAGAAACAAAGTATAGCAATATACTCAATATTCTAGCAACTCATCTTCCACAAATAAGCAAGCTAGGGAATACATGCATACATAACAAAAACTAATTAAGCACAAACATCTTGCATTATATACCTGCAGCCTCATATTCAAGGTTTTCTGACTCTTCATTTCTCAGCCATGCCATGTCTTCTCACATTTTTCTCTGTTCTCATTCCCTACATTTTTCTCCACATCAAATTTGTGTAAACTATTTTTTTTTTCTTTTAAGCCCAGCAAATATGTGATTACATCTGTATTATATTTCAAGGATTCCTTCAGTGAGAATGAATTCTATCTTCCTCTGTGTTCTTCTCTATAGGACATTCTGTATGCTTCTATCTGGGGCATTTTCTTTCTGCTTCACAGTATGACTATGTTTTTCTGTGAATTTATTAGGCTGTTGGAGTATAGAGCTGACATTTTATTCATTTCTGTAATCTTCCAGCATTCAGCACAAATTCTTGCCAACTGAAGATCAATAATGTCTGCCAAATGAAGGAAAGAGATGATAGTGTGTCGTTAAGCAGCAGATTTGTGAGAGAGGCTATTGGTACTCACGTTATCCATGATCTGCATGACACTATTTTTCTCTGCTTTTCTTAGTTATTTTGAGGCCATCTGACTAGTTTTAATTAATGGAATATGAATGAAGCAACGTAGGAGTCCAGAACGAGTCCCCAAAACATGTGCCTCAGTGGTATATAGATTGCTTTGAGCTAAAGGCAACTCTAGTCACAGGTGCAGGTGACACTTCTGCCAACTCCCCTGCCCCTTATCAGCCCAGAAAAATTTGAATTAGAGGCCTGGCCTGTAAGAGATTACCTGCAATAGCCTTTCAACCCACCGACATGGCAAGGCAAATTTTTACTTTCAAAACGTCTGTTCTTATTACCCTGCAAAGGCCCTTTGAAACTCCCAAGGTGCATTACCTCATCCCTAACTCAGAATGTCTATGCCCTTCGATCTCCTTATGTATCTCTGAACCTCTTTTACATGTGAGATCTCTGGATTTCTTGTGTCACATTTGCAGTTTCCATACGTATGTATGTATTAAATTTGGTTATTTTCTCTTGCTAATCTGTCTCATGTCTATTTGATTATTAAACCAGCCAGAAGAACCTTGAGGGGAATGGAAAGTTTGTGCCTCTCCCACAGCGGCATGTTATGTCTGGGTAACAGGAATTAAGAGTCAGTACGCTTCCTTATTTCTTGCTTGTCTCTGCTCTAATAGCCTTGTGTTTTCAGATGGAGTAGCTACAATATGGAGTTACTGAAAGATTTTTAAAAAGCTGCTTGACTTGCACTGGACTTTATGGGAGCAAGAAACAATTACTGTGTTAAGCCACTGAGATTTCAGGTTTTATTTGTCTGAAGAACATAACCTAGCTTATTCTGACCAATACAAGATCTTACTTAATAAGATTATAAATCATAATGGCATAAAGACCCAATGAAACATTGAGCTTATGAAAATGCTCTAATGTGTGCTAAAAATATGTATATTCTAACCCAAAATTGATATATAACAGTCTTTTCAAAACAAAACTCTGAGAAACCTAAGTTGCCGGGGGGTTGGAGGGGGGCGGGTGTGTGTCTGTGTGTGAAAACCACACAATAGATTCATTTTAACTGAAGGCAAAAGACTCAATGTCCCAATATTATTCCCCTTGGCCTGAGTAAAAAAGAACATGTACTCGCCATGCAGTGGCAGCATACTGTGTCTGAGATTGTAGCTGGCTAGCAGCTGTGAATATGATGGCTCTGACCCGGCTTCATAGAGAGGACAAAATATGAAAGACTTCTCTCCACTGCTTCTAACTTTATATGTTGAGGACACCCATACAGGCTACTTTGAAAAATCTTGTATGGAAGTATGGGGGTTCAGAATGATTAACCCCAAGATGTATCTCTGTAGCATGTAGGTTGTTTTGAATTAAAGTCAACTTTAGCTATGGGGTTAAGGTTTTCTGTCCCTCTCTTAACTACTTAGAACTTGACTAGGAGCCTTGCTCATAAGGAGAGATTATCAGAGAAAGCCT